TGAGTGTGTGGTTCTGGAGGCGTTCTTGGCGTGCACGTTCTTGTTTGCACGTGCGGCGTGCAAATAGGGGTAGCCCATACTGCACTGCTGTAGTACCTGGTACTGGTGTACGTTGTCCTTCGATTTTATATTTTTTTATTTTTGTGGGAATATATATATATGTGTTTGTTTTTCGCCCCCCGTCTTGCTGCACCCCCTGGGGTGTGGTGCAGGGCGGGGGATGCCTGTTCGGCGGGAACCCGGCACGGAACCCTCCGGCGTTGTAGGCGGGTGTGGGAAGCGTTCCCCGTTCTCCTTTTATTTTATTTTGATCGGTCTCCTCGACGCTCTTTCTCGTTTGGTGCGGTAGCTGGTCTTTCTTTCTATCATTTTGTTTCTCTTCCGAGTGGTTTTTGTACCCTATTTTTTTCTGTTTCTTCGTGGGGTCGTGTATGCCGGGTTTTGAGACCACGGGCTCCCAATCTTTATTTTTTAGAGCTAATGTGAGAAACAACAAACAACAAAAACAATACATACGTGCAAGATGTAGTTTGTAGAAAATTGAGATTCTGAAGGACGAAGGACACATCTTTACGCTATTCGCGAACAGGTGACACGTGACCTCCGCAGCAGTCCAACCGCGTCGCGACCCGCTCGTTTGTGCCACTGGACGTACATGCTATTTGTTTGTGTTTGTTGTTTTACTCCCATCATTGGACTCTGTCGTCTGCCCCTCTGGCCACTATCCTCCACTTCTACTAGCTAGACGACCCAACCGCGGTCACATAGGAGGGGGAGGTTGGACCCCCTCCTGCGGTTCATGCCTGAGGCATTTTTATCGCGAGAAGGGTACAGCAATCCCTTCCCTCACGACTTACGAAGTCGATTATGGTTTGCGAACAAACGAGCTTTGCAGCGCGTCGCTTTCAGGGTAGACCAGGAATTATTTAGTGAGAAAAAAACTTTCTCTGCCGGGACTCGAACCCATGACCTGGCCTTCAGCAGGCTGCGAGGCTACCCAGTAGACCACCGGGGCGACCTTACGTCGCCGAAAATCGCCAACAATCGCGGAAACGAAATATGACTCGCCGAAAAACATGTGGAAGTCACCGAAAGTCGCCGAAAAAGGTGTTTTTGGCACTAGCAAAACATCGCCAAAATTTTTCCTTGAAAAAATGCCGAGAAAAAACAAAAATATCGCCTACAGGGGAAAAGTCTAATTAAAGAAGGACGGTCCCCACACCCGCCTAGAGAAAAAGTCAAATATACCGGGTTGTTGTTGTTGTTTCTCACATTAGCTCTAAAAAAAAAAACCGGGTGTGTTGTCTTGTGTCCTTGCACGGTATTTAGCATTCGGGCACAGACAACAAGCAGATAGATCTCGTGTGATTATTCCACAGCAAGAAGCTACAACCAACCACGCACGCACGGGGGAAAAGGGATTCTATTCCCTCTATTGCATCCCTGCTTCATGGAAAAATCGAGCTCTTCGCCGCCGAGGTTTGAAAACCACTACTTGCACGTAACGCCATATATATGCTGGTGTCTCTGTAGAACTGCGAACGCAGGACATCTTCGTTACCTGTCGGTGCCACGTCCAGATATGTTCTTCGGGGGTCCGCTGAATTTTGTAAAACAATCTGAATCTTCATGCTTAAGGGCCGAATCGTCCGCTCACGCCCCTTGCCACACACGCCGATATACCCCGAAGCCCGCAACATAACAACCGTCACAGATCTTCCCGTTTCCTTGGAACCACACCCCATCTCAACCCACCGCTGTCATCCTGCTGACTTGGTGGTGGTGTGCTTCGGGCTTTTTCCTCTTCGCCGACCTCCAACTACGGACTGGGAATAGCAGCCATGCCGCGATCGCTGCAGCTTGCGCTGGTAACAGGCGCCCTGTTTGCCGCCACTGGGAATGCGACTAGGATTCGTGCTCATGGAGACGTCCCGGTCACTACCCCTTCTACTACCCGCAGACTTCAAACGACGGTGAGGGGCCCGCAAGTTCAGCATCGTTTTTGTCATCGTTGCTTCGCCTGCCAGGGTGTGGTGTTTCGCGTGCCTTTGGATGCTGGTTGCTGCTGTTCGTGGTATGCATGCAAGTATTGATATGTACGTATTGCACGCCACACAACAATAGTCCGGATGGTGGGCATGTTCCTTGTCGTATTTTGTCGCGCCGCGTTAAGCCAGGGGCCCTTTGCCACCGCCCGCAGAGTAGACTTCGTACACATGCCCGGTCACTTGCCCTGTCACGCGTTTGTGCTTGTGCTCATCACTTCTTATGATACACACCCTGGCATTACGATGCGATCCAAGGAACGCTGGCTCCTGTCCGTCAGGTTTGGCGAGTGAGTGCCTGGCGGAGGAACTTTTTGACACTCGCATGTTGCCCCGAGAAGAGAACTATAATTTTAAGTACATAGACCACAATTGTACCAATGGAGAGGCTTGCGGCTTGGCGGTTCCGCCAACACCACCACACGCGGAGAGAAGCGACACATCCCAAGACGGGATAGAACCGGCATGGGGGAAATGTGTTTTTGATAGGACGTGATGTGTGAAATTTCTGAAACAAAGCACCTTTGGACGTGCGAGGTATGCAACCAGGCCCTCTCGGCAAGCTGTCCGACGATGTGTGATAGCAGCTCATGATGAGCGCCGCACCCACCCGCGTACCATACATAGGACAGAAATAAGAACAAAACCATCGAGAGAAGCAAGCGAGAGTGCTAGCTGTATGCCTATCTGGTGGGGAGCACAATGTGTAGTCTAGACCCCACCAGCATGGACTGAGAGTGAGGGTCTTCATGGCAGGCTGCCGAGAGTGTGTGCGCAGGGCACGAGAGAGGGAGAGAGAGAGAGAGATCGGAACTCGCCCAACAGCATNCCCCTGGGCATGAAAATTATTATTTTTCTCGTGCGCACATACTCCACACACGATCCCTCTAAACAGCTTTTTTTTTGCAAAACACAAAGCGTACCCATATTATTGTTGTTGTTGTCTTCACATCAAACCGTATGTCAGTTGCTAAATGCCAAAATCTTGCAAAAGACTCTCAGACCGTGGTCACGAAAGTGCTAGAGCCATCTGAGGATCTAAAGAACACGCACACATAGACTATAACGAGAAAAAGGTATCCAAGAGCCCGAAGAGGTACACCTAAAAATCCCTGCAGCACCGTATGCGTGCCCAAAAACTGAACTGCACGTCCTCACCGTTCGACTACAGTAGTAGCATCACCCCCTCCCTGTCCCACTCTAGAATATACCAAAACGGAAGATTGCCGACTACAGCATAATGCTGTCTGAAGTGCTGTCTGTACAAAAACACCCCATGGTAGGCATNTGCCTGTCTCTTATACACATCTAGATGTGTATAAGAGACAGGCACAAAGCTGCTGTCTGAAGTGCTGTCAGAATGTGTCTGCGGCCGTACAGTGAAAAAGAACAACCAACCAAACAAAGCCATCATAGCAGCAATTGACAATCATCCGAATCTCTCCCGATCGTCTTGTGTAGGCACTGCAGTGATAAATATCGACACTAGCTAAGAGTCGTTCCGCATTGATTGAAGCGGTCTTCCACGATCAGGCACAAAACCAATGCACCCGGGTTAGCCACGCCATCTCTGACGGGTCTCTCTACAAAACCGGTGACGACGTCATATAACAAAACCAACACGGAAAGTCAGAAAAAAAACGAAAAAA